GTAGAAAATAAATCAAGGAAGGGGAAGATGGTGGGAGAGGTGAATTTTAAATAGAGTGGACATCTGAGAAAAACGTTCTGAGAAGATGCCATTTGAGCAAAGCCTGAGGAGGTGAGGGAGTGGGCTATGTGGCTCCCTGGGGAAGAACATTCCAGACAGAGGGACCAGCTAATTCAAAATTCCTGAGGCAGGAGTGTACTGGGCACGTTGAAGAAACAGCAAGGGGGCCAGCGTGGCCGCAGAGCGGTGAGGGAAGAACTAGGACAGTAGCCGGAAGAAGGCCTGGGAGGGCTCTGGTGTGCTTGGATCCTGCACTAAGATGGAAAGCATCTGAGGGTTCTGAGTGGAGGAGTGACATAATTCTCAAGGGTGACTCTAGCTAATGAACTGAGGTCAGAGGAGACAAAGGCACACCCCGGAGCCCAGTTAGGAGACAGTTGTAGAGGTCAGAGGTGATGGGGCCTGAGTCTCTTGGTAGCAGGGGCAGGTAAGAATGAGTTATATTGTGGGTGTACAGTCGACCCTCGAATGTGGTAGCAGAATAGGGGCATAGCAGATTCGGACGTGCTAAGGATGAGGGGCTGGCTAGACACCAAGTGAGGATGAGCAAGCTGGATTTTCAGGCAGATATCTGAGCTGGGTGTAACCAACTGGGGGTGCTTGGCACCATGACACTGGAGGGAAGATCACAGGGTGAGTGTGGATGGAGAGGAGGTAGGTACCCCAAGAACAGGGTCCTGGGGTACTACAAAGCTAAGAGCTCACCTAAGCATCCTATTCTCATTTTTTAAAGGCTGGTATTCAATAAACTGTATTATTTTCAGTTTCATAAACCTCCTTATATTGTGCTTAGAACAAGGCAAACATAGTGGAGCACTGGAGCACTGACATCGTGTCATTCACGTAAGAAATGTCTACTCTGAGCCAATGACATGTCAGGCATTAGGAGCTGTGGATGACCAGACAAAGACTCTGGCCTCCTGAAGCTTATGTTCCAGCTGAGGACAAGGACAGTACTTGACATGTAAATAAACACACAAGGCAGTTTCAGATCGTAGCAGGAGCTATAAAGGAAGTAGAACAGATAAATAGAGGGTAACTCAGGACAGGAGCTGTGGCTTCACTGAGGACATTTTATCTGAACTGAACCAGAGTGAAGAGGAGGAGCCATGCAATGTTCTGGAGGAAGAGCATTCCAGGCAGAGGGAGCAACCAGTGCAAAGGCCCGAGATAGAAGGAGCTTGGCTTGTCGGGTGACAGAAAGTAGGCTGGCTGGTGCGGCTGGGACACGGTGAAAGGGAGAGCGGTGTAGGAGGCAGAGCCAGAGAGGGGCAGGGGCCACTTGTGCTGAGTCTTGCCAGCATGGGTTTCATTCAGTGAAACTTTGGGTTTCATTTTAAGTGCACTGGGAAGTCACTGCAGATTCTCAGCCGGGGCAGCGATGGGATGGGACTTACCCTAGCTGCGGAGTGAGTGTAGCACGGGCTGTAAGGAGCAGAGAGACTGGCATGGAGGGTGTCACGGTGGATGAGGGCCCAGCCACCGGGGGCTGGACTAGGACAGGCGCAGGGCAAGTGGGGGAGAGTGTGAGGCCTTGCCCATGGATGGAATGAAGGCAGAGAGAAGTCTTTGATGACCCTGGGTTTCGGCTTGAGCAACTAGATGGATGTCATTCCGTGGACAAGAGACCTGGCAAACAGGAAGAGGGGCGGGTTTCCCGGAGAAATAAAGAGCTCCTGTCCAGCTGTGCTAAAATTGCACTGAGATGCATGCTGGTCATTTTGCAATTCTTTGTGTTATCGACAAAGTCCTACATTCATTGTTCATTCGGCGTCACACTCCCACCAGCCATGTTTCAGAGTTTCGATTTCTCCACATCCTCACCAGCACTTGTTATTCTGTTATCTTTTTTATTTTAGCCATCTGAGTGTGTGTGAGATGATACCTCACTGCGGCCTTGATTCACATTTTCCTAATCTGATGACGTGGGATATCTTTTCATCTGTCAGTTTCTGGCCTGCAGGGTTTTGGGTCCCAGGCCAGGATGCCGGGGCATGGCTGTATTTAGAACATGCTGTTGACCTTCCCATCAGATCGAAGGAGGAGCATGTTTCATCAGAGTGTGAGCAAACATCGAGGCCTTTTCTAAAAACAGATGTGGTTTTTTGCCTGAGAGCCCGGCAAAGGACATTAACGTTGTAACTTTTAAAATTATTTCACAAAATTAACGAGCAAAGGGGGAAAAAACTACGATGAATAAGATAGAAGAGAAACTCGATTAGAAGAAAATTTTATTATCTAATCTGATTCCAAACTTGAATCTTCTTCCATACGTATGCTTTCATCCTACGAGTAAGTGTCATGATGAAATCACTCTGCTTTTTAGAGCTCATAATGGTAGCAACCTCAAACCAAGGCCGATTAAACAAACTCACAAGTTGGCCATCATCCGCACGCTATTCTATTCTCTGATGGGGCTTCCGTGAGATGCTGATGGGTCAAACAGCTTTGATCTTCTGGAAAGCAGCTAGCCCGACAGGGGGTGAAAGAGGAAACAGAAGGTGGGCAGCCGGCTGCTGAAGGCAGCACTGGTCTCTCATAAAGGCCCAGGCCTACCACTTCCCAGCCATGTGGTTTCAGGCAAATTACTGACTTTCCATAAACCTCCATCTCTTCCTCTGAAAAATGCAGCTCAGTTTACTTACTTAAAAAGCCTGATTTGGGGCACAAATCAACAGTGAGCGAGGGAGCACCCACCCAGCCTGCTAAGAAGTGCTACATGAAGGACACTACTGGTATGTCATCTTTCCCCCCAACCCTCAGTAGGAACTCTCTTTCCTTTCCTTTTCAACCTCCCTCCTAGGTCCCAAACCCCAACCCCAGGAATAATGCCAGACCTTCAGAAGTTACTCAGCAGAAGTTGTCTTAGAGGAGACAAACCCATTCTGTCCGGATGAACAGAATATCAAAGAGATAAATGGATTTGGTCATTTAACAAATACTTGTTGGTGCCTCTTATGCTCCAGAGACTGTGTTAGGTACCAGAGAAACAGCTGTGAACAAGACAAGACAACCCATGCCCTCGTGGAGCTTTCACACTAGCTAGAGAGACTAGAAAGACTCCGAACAGATCGATCACCAGAGTGCGCTGGGGGTGAACTGGTGGGGAGTGACTGGAGAGAAACGAGGCGGGGAAGATGAGGCTGGAGATGGGTGCCTGTTCCTAAGGATGCCAATTCGCAGTTCTAAGGGGTGAATTCTTTGGAGGTGAGTTAGGTTTCTGGGGCTCATTTCTAAGGAGACCTCACCTTCCTTCCAGGGCAGCCGACACTCTGCTCCCAAGCATGCAGCAGCTGGGCTCAGCCGAGGGCAATGTCAGGCCAGACAAATGCAAAGGAGACTGGCCAGCGCTGCACGCCACCCAACCCTGAGAATTAGATCACCTTGGGAAAGACTCTTCACCTTGGCTCTGAGTAAAAAAAGGCCTGCACTGTGCTTCCTTAAATAGCACCGGACAGAGACCAGTTTCATACACTTCAAAGCCCTTCCCTGTCTGCATTGTATGAATGACACATTCCTATCTAAACTCACCCAGACTAACAGCCACTAATTTCCTAGCAACCCTGCCCTAACAGTTCTGGCATGGAATGGAATTAATTCTAGCACAGAACTGGAAGTTTATACTGCAGGAAAAACAAAAAACCTTTCAAAATTCTTCCTACATGTCTGCCCTACTACTCAATCTCCACCCCCATGCACCATCTTTGACCAAGTCCAACAGGTGGTTCTCCCCTGTAGCACCGGGCAAGCCCTAACCGTGTGACAGCAGTGCTGAGAACCCTCTGCCTAAATAATCATACAGCTTGCATTTATTTACACTGAGCCACCTCACGCTATTTCTTGACTATGGAATCATCCATTTTCTGCCTCATGACAACTTTTGTAGGAAGCCTGGACAAGTCTATACGGAAACAGATTGAGAATCACATCGTGTGAGGGTAAAAAGGCTTCAGAAAACCGGCAAAGGGTGGCAGGTAGGTTGTATCTTGGGCTCCTGTCCCATGTGCCTGGTGCTGGCTCCATGTGGCTCCGGTGTGTAAAGGGGTCCCTCGGGCAGCCAAGTGGTACGGAAGCAAAGGATGACAGACTACTGATGTCCACCGTGGACGAGACACAGGAGCCAGGCATGCCCCTTGGATGTTTGTTATGTCTGACCCAGTTCCAGCTTCTCATCTTACAAGTGAGGGAGCTGATACTCAGGGAATTGGGGTGACTCCATCAAGGTCACACTGCCACTGAGAAACAGCCAGACCTCGAACCCAAGCATCTAGATTCTCACCTGAGAATTGCTGTCGAAATCCACTCTTTTTTGCTCTCATTCATAACGTCTACAGAGGGCTGATTTCATGAGGCCAGGAGGGCCGGGGAACCTGGCTGGCGCTGTGTAATGCCTGCCATGTGGCCCCTGGTAATCAGCTGTCCAGGGCTCCCAGCCTGGCTCCTGCTCCCTCTGCGCCCTCCCAACAGGACTGCTTGCCTCAAGCTATTGTGAACCCAGCAAGGAGGGTGAGGGTCCTGCCCATGAAGAAATCTACAGTGATTCACAGAGGCCTGGACTCCTGACCCAGATCCTGATGTTATTCCCTTTTCTCCATAGTCATGTTACCTTCAGAATTCTTATTATCCCAGTTTGGATGGGCTCAGGCTTGTGAGAATATACACAGAACTGCTTTTATGTTTTTCTCAGAGTGATGCTGACACACATTATATTTACTTCTTCTTTTTTTTAATAATAAATTTATTTTTTTGGTGTTCAATTTACCAACATACAGAATAACACCCAGGGCTCATCCCATCAAGTGCCCCCCTCAGTGTCCGTCACCCATTCACCCCCACCTCCCGCCCTCCTCCCCTTCCACCACCCCTAGTTCGTTTCCCAGAGTTAGGAGTCTTTAAGTTCTATCTCCCTTTCTGATATTTCCTACCCATTTCTTCTCCCTTCCCTTCTATTGCCTTTCACTATTATTTATATTCCCCAAATGAATGAGACCATATAATGTTTGTCCTTCTCTGATTGACTTACTTCACTCAGCATAATACCCTCCAGTTCCATCCACCTCGAAGCAAATGGTGGGTATTTGTCGTTTCTAATGGCTGAGGAATATTCCATTGTATACATAGACCACATCTTCTTTATCCATTCATCTTTCGATGGACACCGAGGCTCCTTCCACAGTTTGGCTATTGTGGACATTGCTGCTAGAAACATCGGGGTGCAGGTGTCCCGGCGTTTCATTGCTGCTGTATCTTTGGGGTAAATCCCCAACAGTGCAATTGCTGGGTTGTAGGGCAGGTCTATTTTTAACTTTTTTAAAACTTAGCTTACATGGCTACGAATAAATGACTCCTTTGATGAGAAAATACATTCATATGTAGATGTCACTGGAAGGGAAAAGGGACCAGAAATTTAAATTTATCATAGGATATCTTTCTTTTAAAAATAAATATAAAATAAAATAAAATAAAATAAAATAAAATAAAATAAAATAAAATAAAATAAAATAATAAAATAAATCCTAGCTCAACTGATGATGTGCCTTTTCCTTTGGCCCAACACCTGGTCTCCTGCCAGGTCCCACGCTGGTCATCACCTCCTCCTGAAATGTTCTATTCTTGCGGGACAAACCCTGTTCTCCCCTTCAGGGTCTAAAGTGCTCCTTTGTCTTGGGGTAAGAAAAGAAAATTTGTTTAGTTCAATGGACTTATTTTGAGTATCTAAAAGGTGCCAGGCATGTGCCAGGCACTCAAGGCTTAGAAGTAAATGCAGTAGGTCCCTGCCCACAGGAAATTTAAATGAAACTTAAATTGAGCCCAAGAAACACAGAGTTGAGCCTGTGTCATTTAAGCTTTGCCCTAAATCCACTCTTCTGTGGTCATGCACTGTGTCTCTTTTGTTCCCCACTCTGTCCCCAGCACTGAGCACAGTGCCTGGCACATGGTGCCAGGAAAGACTGGTGACTCATTGAATCACTGATTCCTTAATGACCACCCTACAAGGCACACAACATTTTTCTCCTTTTACAGAGAAAGAACTGAAGCTGCCAGCAGCTAAGGACCCTCTCCCAAAGTCTCCTGGTAGTGATGACCCAGGCATTTGTTTTTAAATCCTTTGCTTTTTCTCCTGTGTAGCACATCCTACCACTTCCCTTTCTAGACCTAGTGTTCTCATCCGTAAATTCAGGGGAGCAGTCTAGATGATCCCATGATCCCTTAAAGCTTTAAATTTTGTAGCCCATGTCCAAAGTTGGTACTAGCATGCATACCCTATTTTCCCTGGGTGGGTTCTCATGAGTTTTTTTCTTAAGAGGCACTTCCCCTGTTCCCATCATACTTCAGCTCTTTGAGTTTAATATTTCACTGTGTAAGCTGTTTGTAGTACCCCTAGATCTGTTTTCTTTGCTCAGGGATTTCTCATTTCTTAAAGTGCATGGCTGTGTAAACCTGCCTTATCTGGACTATGTAAATCACACACTTTACTTCCCCATGCCAAGAATTTCTCAAGGACAGCAGCCAGCTTTTGGTGCTCCGTGGCAGGCTTCAAAGAATCCCATGCCTTAAGATGGACAAAATATTCCTTGGAAATGACAACTCTCGATTTTAAAAGGAAAGATACAGATTTTTACAATTTTGTGGGATCATAAAACTGCATTTTTATATACTAACCATGAAAAATCAAAAATGAAATTAAGAATTTCATTTGCAATAGCATCAAAAGGAAGAAAATATTTCAGAACAAATTTAACAAAAGAAGTGCAATACTGGTACACTGAAAATTAAAAAAAAAAAAAACATTATTGTAGACAACCGAAGGAAAAAAATACATGGAGAGATAGCCCATTTTTGTAGACTGAAGGACTTAATATTGTTAAGATAGCCACACTCCCTAAATTGATTCACAGATCACACACAATCCCTATCAACATCCTGGCTGTTTTTTTCTACAGAGATTGACAAACTGATATTAAAATGTATGTGGAAATGCAAGGGACCCAGAATAGCTAAAACGATATTGAAAAAGAATAAAGTTAGAAGACATATACACCCTGATTTCAAAATTGCAAAGTGTAGTAATCAAAACACTGTAACACTGAGATAATGATAGATATATAGATAAGTAGAGTAGAGAGTGCAGAAAGAAAGTCTTACATTTATGGTCAATTGATTTTGACAAGCGTATTCAATCTGATGAGGGAAAGAGTAGTCTTTGTAACAGATGGTTCTGGGACAAGTGGATATCCACATACAAAAGGATGAAGTTGGGGGATCCCTGGGTGTCTCAGCACTTTAGTGCCTGCCTTTGGCTCAGGGTGAGATCCTGGAGTCCCAGGATGGCGTCCCACGTCGGGCTCCCTGCATAGAGCCTGCTTCTCCCTCTGCCTGTGTCTCTGCTTTTCTCTCTCATGAATAAATATATAAAACCTTTAAAACAAAATGAAACAAAAAAATGAAGTTGGACTACTAGCTCACACCATGTACCAAAATTAACTCAAATGGATCAAAGACCTAAATATAAGAACTAACACTATAAAATTCTTAGAAGAAAATAGAGGTGTTAATCTTCATGACCTTTAGACGGGCGACAGTTTCTTACCTGTGCCACCAAAAGCACAGGTGACCAAAGGCAAAATATAGATTGGATTTCATCAAAATTGAAAACTTTTGTGCTTCAAAGACTCTATGAAGAAAGTAAAAAGACAAGCCACAGAATGGGAGAAAACATTTGCAAATTATGTATCCGATATAGGTTCAATATCCAGAATATATAAAGATCACTTAACAAGCCAAGAATAAAGAGACAACACATTCTTTATACTTTTCTGAGTTGTCCTACATGCAAGTACATGTTTTTAATGTTGTCTGTCTTCTGTGCTGTTACTGTAAGTTTGCTACTAAAATATATTAAACTATACCAAATAAAGACCAAAAAACACAATTTAAAGATGGTAAAGGATTTGAATCAACATTTCTCATAATAAGATATACAAATGTTTAATAAGCACATGAAAATATGTTCAACATCAGTGGTCATTAGGAAATTATAAATCAAAACTATAAGATGCCACTTTATACTCACTAGGATGGCTATAAAAAAGGGGGGGGGGATGCCTGGGTGGCTCAGTGGTTAAGCATGTCCGCCTTCAGCTCAGCATGATCCTGGAGTACCAAGATCTAGTCCCACATCAGGATCCCGGCATGGAGCCTGCTTCTCCCTCTGCCTGTGTCTCTGCCTCTCTCACTCTCACTCTGTGTCTCTCATGAATAAATAAATAAAGTCTTAAAAAAAAGAGGTAATAAAAAGAATAGTGAGGATAAGGAGAAATTGGAACCCTCCTTCATTACTGGTAGATTTGCAAAATAGTGTTCAAAAAGTTCAACACAGAGTTACCACATGATCTAGCATTTCTACTCCTAGGGTGTGTGTGTGTGCATACATGTATGAAAACATTTGAATGCACAAAAACATGTACCTGACTGTTGTTAGCAGTATTATTCATAATAGCCAGGAAGTGGAAATAGCCCAATACTCATCAACTAAGGAATGGATAACAAAATATGGTATATCCACGCAATGGAATATTATTTGGCAATCAAAAAGAATGAAGTGCTGATTCATGCTACAAGTTTTTGAGGAAATGGTTAGTGATGAAAATATTCTGGAACTGAATAGTAGTAATAGTCGTACAACTCTGAAGGTGGTAAAAATTATGATATATAAATTGCACTTTAACAAAGCTGTTTAAGATAAATCTTGTGGGAAATTCGATGGAAAATGAGAGGTTAAGTGAAAATCCCAGGCTAACCCCCACTCTTAGCACCTAGAAGGCTCCCCACAACTGTGGCAACAGTCACACCCATAGAACTCTGAATCTGTGGATATTCAAAGGCTATCTTACCTGATGATCCTTCAACCTCTCAATGGTACCCCCACTAGGTGATTACCCAACCTGTGCTTGACTAGGCTGTTTTCTCCCTCTCCAAGCATTTGCTGAATATCTACTATGTGCTCAGCTCTGGGCTAAACATTGAGAATATACTTTGTGCCGTGGTTGTCTCTGTAATATAACCAACATGTATTTGAATATTTATAATATGTCAGGCACTTTATTGGTTTCTATTCTTTTTTGTTTGCTTGTACCTCTTTTAGTTTGGGCTCTCCCAGAAACAGATCCTGAGACAAAGATTCAGTGGAAACAATTTTTTCAGGAAGTGCAAGCACTTACCACCTCCATGCTCTCTCTATCCCTCTCTCTCTCAGGAAAAAAAAAAAAAAGATTTAAAAAAATACCTTCCTCCTTCCACACACTGGAGATGGTGTACAAAACGTATAATAATGCCATGAATTAGGTCAAGGTAAATGAATAGAAGTCTTTCTGCTAAGGCGAAGAATATCCTTCTAATCAATGCAGACAACGGATGCTTTTTCTCACCATATCCTTTGTCAAACACTAGATCTCCAAAAATACCTCCAAAACTATTTTTTGGAAAGGGAAAACTGAGTTGCCAGCTTTATCATGATAAATGAGGTCACAAACTTGACAGAGTCTCAGTAGGTGAGGGGTTTGGGGGTTTTGAGGTCCAGTATAAGGCAAGATTTTCTCTGCAGGCCCTTGATTAGAATTGAGTAAGGCGTACAGTATAATAAAGACTGGTGAACACAGGAGAGGGTTCTCACTGAGGCGAAGGTTGCAGGGAGTCATGGGAAGTAAACAATTGTTTGGTGTTAATTACTGACCGGTTGAACCATCAAGTATTTGTTTAAATGTTTAAATGGTTATGAGGAGGAAGTTCCTGTGGTGAGCAGTTATTTGCAACTTTAATCTTCTCGATAAATGTTTTCTGATATAGGAAAGTGCTTATGTTGCAGAAAGTTGTGTGGGCACAAATGGTTTCTCCTGGCACTTTCGACAGGAGCCTACGACGTCACACACTAAGACAGAATCCAGTGAAAGCAGCTCTTTAGGACAGCAACAATCTGCCACCCAGACCCCAGTAAGCCTTACTGAAGAGGGGGAAAGACACACACTTCCCATCTTTAAGGAGCAGGCTTAGGAGCACCTGCTGGCTCAGTTGGTAGAGCATGTGACTCTTGATCTTGGGTTGTAAGTTCAAGCCCCACGTTGGCTATAGAGATTACCTAAAAAATAAAATCTTTTTTCTTTTCTTTTTTTTTTTTAAGGAGCAGGATTAGAAGGGAAGTCCTAGAATGCAGGGGTATGACAACTTCTGTGCCTGGCAGTGGAACATGTCTCCCACGGGCCTGGGGACATGCTGAGAAGGGGGAGAATCCGAGCAGTGAGGTTTCTTAAATCACTCCTCCTGGCCTCACTGCCAGGTGGGCAGCTCTCTCACGGATGCCACAAAGGAAGTTACAGCAAACCTGACCTCCGCCAGTCCCCCCTCCTGGCCCCTGCTTCTTCAGGGCTCATTCTGGCTGCTGCACCCCAGCCCGCCCCTTTAAGATTCTATTTATTTATTCATGAGAGACACACAGAGAGAGACAGAGACAGGGGCAGAGGGAAAAGCAGGTTCTCTGCAGGGAGCCCAGGATCAAGCCCTGGGCCCAAGGCAAGTGCTCAGCCACTGAGCCGCCCGGGCGCCCTGTGGCTGCGGTCTTACTCCCTTCGGAAGGCGCCTTTCCCACGCTGGGCTGGGGGATGGCAGGAGTTTCAAGCAGGACTCGTTCTGCTACCCTTGCCTATAGAATCACCAAAATCGCAGGGACTGGCCACCACCTCCTCCCAAGGCCACCTAGCGCTGATGCCTGGCAGGTGGAACCTCCGCCGGGCCCGCCCGGCCCATCGCCCTGGCTCCTCGCAGGCAGGCAGCCAGGCAGGCAGGCAGGCAGGCAGGCAGGCAAGTTTCCTTTCCTGACAAAAGAAATAGAGGCTCAAGTTCAAGTCAGCAAAAGAGCCGGAATCATCAACCAGGTCTTCGGACTCCGCCCAGAGCTCTTTCTGGGGTAAGAAATGTCCTATTTTTTCAATTGTGATAGAATCATTGTGTCAGGCTAGGGCTTCACATCCAAACACGAGAAACTGCTCCTACCAACCTGGAAACGCGGTCGCCCGTGGCTTCGATCTGCAAGGCCTTGCTACTCAAACATTCAGAAATACGAGTGATTATTTTTTCCATTATGAGAGTAATAATGCTCATCCCAGAAAACGTGTTTTAAGAATCGATTCGTGGATTTTTGTGTTTGTGAAGAAAAGGCTTTGGTCCTTTCTTGAGAAAGAGTGACCTCATCTTAAAGGAATGAATGCCCCTGGAAAAGAGCTGTGTGTCAAGGTCCCAGCGGTTTTATGTTTCTAAGAGAGGACGGGGCTCTGTTCACTCTCCAGCAGAGTAAATAAGTTTTTATGTTCCTAAGGGCTTGATTTTTCAGTTTAACAGGCCATCCTGTCCTTTCCAACAAGCTGTTAAGCCTTATTGCATAAGAGACGGAAGACAATGAGAGTCATTGTGCCCAAGAGCTGGGGTGGGGGCAGCGCTCCAGGCAGAAGGGCTCACCGGACCCTGACACCCTGACACCGAGGTGATCTGAAGGGAGGTTTGCTGGCCTCAAAGTGCCGAGAGATGGGATGGGACAGGGCTGGGGAGAGAGCACTGGTGGAAACGTTCTGCTGTCCGAGGGGCATGGCTGGACCTGCGCCTGCCCCTGCCCCAGGGCCCACCTAAGCTGTGGGGGCCCCTAGAGAGGGCAGGTACCCGAGGGACCAGGCAAGTGCGAGGAAGTGAAGCTGTACCTTCCTTCTCGCACTTCTCTGTACCCCCAGGACACCTGCAGGGCCCCGGGAGCCTAGTGCTAGCCCAGGGCCGATTCCTGTTTCTGTGTCTAGTGACTGGACAAGAACTGCTGGTGCCTCCCAAGCTGAGAGGTGGAGGATGAACGAGCCACCAGTGTCACGGTACACAGAAATGTTATGCAAATCCTGCATGCTTCCCCGTCCCCACACACCCCAATCTCTGCGAAGCCCTTCCAGATCTGAAGGGGTTGGCTCCAGCTCTCTCTCCCCGTCCGCAGGCTGTGTCAGCTGTACAAATGCAGCTTTTAACCAGAAACTTTAACCAGAAAATTCCACCCTCTGAGAACGGTGGGCCTCGGCGCTCAGGAACGCTGGTGACAGCATTCACCACCTTCCTTGTCCCCAAAGTCAGCAGCATCTCAGGCACCATGAAAAGCTGCCTGGGATTTTGAAATTTGGGCCTTTGCAGCAGAAGATGCCTATGAGTGGAAAGAATAAGTCCTGGTGTCAGCAGAGCAGTGAGTGCCCACGAGTGGCAGCTCGGGGATTCAGGGCCCCCTCACCGCTGGGGGTGAGTGCGGGGCACATGTTCCTCCAGTCGCCCCTGCTTAGGGCCTAAGTGGGATCAGATGGCTTGTCTGTGACCTCGCAGACATGATGCAAGTCCAACAGTCT